TTCCACTAGGTCCGAATTCCTGAACGGTATTTTATGACTAGACACCGGTTAGGGGAACGTGTAAAATACAATAAGGAAAATGCTCGTTGATGCGTGAAATGTACTTACTAGGAAATTCTGAAACAAATTGCCTCAAAGAGACGACAAAAGGAGAGTCAGTGCTAGTGTGCTTGTGCCGGATCATTGGAAAGACCAGCTTGGGGGTGAAGCATTACATACACGCCATGCTTCAAATCCCCCATTTAAGGGGATCGATCGAGGGTGATATAATAAATAAATCAAAAAGCATAGAAGCGTAGCCTAGACGACGTATTGCATTCTTTATACCAGGGAAGATGCGAAAATACCAGTAGTATTTCTTATCGAACTGTGTTCATACCGTTTTCACTGTTAATTAAATATATAAATCGGTCATTTCAAATGCCACCCAACGGTTTTTTTACTGAAAACGCTTTCTAAGGCTACGGTTACTAGGATGCGAATTCTGAGGAAATTAGTTCGAGTACATCGAAGACCCTCGTCAGAACAAGGTGGTTACACTGTGCGCATTGTCTGACGTTTTGGCAGTTAGTAAGTTTCTGCCACAAGGCAAATATGGGCGAAGTTGACGAATTTTATTTTCTTGACAGTCCTAAAATTACGGTTGTGAAATATGTTGAAAAAACAGAGCATGGCAATTCTTCATTTTCTAGTAGAGATGACAAAGGAGAGATTGAAAGGTAATGGTAATTTTTGTCTCCCGTATCTTATATACGACAGTGAGCTGTTCTGGTACACAATAGTTATCAATTTATCGTTGTCCATGATGAACAAGCCAAGTGAGTATTCAAAGAAGGTGCAGGACTTTCAAAAAAATCAAATCTGTTTGAACGCTCAAATGGCTCTGACATCGTGCGTGTAAAAACAGCTGTTTGTTTATTTGCACGAATCAATCAGAATTTGTCAGAAAAAAAATTTACCGTAGCCTGAAAGGTTAAGATGCGTATTACAGGTAAAATCCACTGGAGGCGATATGTTCCTTCCCCTTAAAATGATACCTCGTAATAGACGTTCATTGCAAAAACAGTATAATTGACTTGACTTTGCACTACTCGACGGAACATACTTGATTGGTTCATATTAAGATCAATACTAGGATTCTTGATTTCTTTTCATTTTATATTTATGTCATATAAGCACCAAAATACCAACTCAAAATTCACTAACTACAAAAATAAGAGTACGGCCGAATACAGTATCCACTTCGCCTTATCCACTACATCCGAAATCACTGATTTAAGAATTTTCTTGTTTTTTACCAAATCCAATCTGTTTCATATTATGTAGTTTTGACAAACGCAAAGAGTGAACTAGCACGGATGCTCGTTCCAAGGATATCGAAATTGTGTGACAATCTGCCACTTCTATTTTGGTTCTAGTAACCTAAGGCACTATGCATTTATGGTGCATCAGTATAAAAAATACCCTTAAGATCTCCTAGAACATTTGAATATTTCATAGTGATACTGGATGAGGTGAAGAATTTTCTGATAGATATATTTCGCTTCCGGATATAACGTTTAACAATTTAAAATGTGTTAATAAACCATAGGAATTCATTTGGAGCGTTTGTTTGGGGAAAACTAGGTTATGGATGCATTTGCATACAATTTATAAATAGTGAAAAGAGGTGAATTAGAATACAAAAATGTTCTAAAGCGGGATAATCAAGGACAAGAGCCACTGATTTTGCAGTTGAATCTACCTCAGCTCCCTTTTGGTAATGAACCAAACTAGGCACATGCATGCTACTATCAATGTGAGGTAATAACCCCAACTAATGGTCAGTGGTTGGCGCTATTAACCTTAACGCTTAATGACCGAAAAGGCTTTTAATGTCTAGTCAAAGTATGTTGAAGTTTAGCTGCTACCAGTTGACAGAGGTTATGTGAATTTATGGATTATTCTATTTAGTACTGTACTGTGGTTGTGGTATACTTTAACTTGAAATACCCACAATTTTCTGGCTACCATATGAAACTATACATATTGGAAATCCTGTTTACTAATGCTACGGCCACCTCGGTGACAAATCAAAAAACGACAACAACAATTTATGTTTATCGGCCTTCCAGGATGCTACGTTCATTTTTGCTGCTGCTATACTATTTAGGTTCGGATATCGGCCAAGCTTTATGAAGAGAGACTGACTTTTGCAGCAGCTTTTTGAGAATGAACGTTAAAAAGAGCATCTCAAAAATTTCTTTTAACTTCCCAATCTGGACCTTGAGCTGACGCCTTCGTCCAAAAACGTCCAAACTGAGGTGGTGATTCCGATATCAATCCTGCACGAAGTGTATTATCCAAGCTAAAGCATCACTTTTTTTGCTGTAAATAAAATGGTTGTAAAAAGGTATTCTGCCATATCTGAATTGCTCTGAGTCTGTAATCTTTTTGTTTCTAAATGAGAGTACATTCAAACTTTTTCTAAGTATCTACGTTCCGATTTTACTAAGCCGCGGCGCAACAATGCGCGTGGGTCACAAATTCATCATTTGAAGAAATGAGTCTAATGAATATGGTGGATTTCTTGTGAAATTTTTCTCAAAACAGAATTATTATAGGGTTTGTGAAATATGGACCCCTAATTTCCATATTAAATCAAGAAATACGTTATAAATCACTCGGCTTAGCTACAAAAGCCTATTTTTTCATTTGCGTCGGGGCACTAAATTAACGGCCATGGTCATAAAATGCACCAATGAAAAAGAAGCATTTACGCCATACTCGAAGCACGGCCACAAACCTGATACAATATCTAGATTGATATGACAGCAATTAAATGACCATTTCATTGAAAATAGCAGTGTCTCACTGTTTCTGTACAAAATACTGTTTGATAATTTCTTGAGGACATAAATAAGACTACAGAACTCTTATTCTTCAACAAACATCGAGTAAATATCCAATTTACTTGACTGTCGTGTGAAAAACCCTATTCCTTAAGAGAGAGGGATCTCTCGTTGCGTAGTCGTCCTACCGACCAGTAAGTAGACTGCGCACCATCTCCTTAGTAACAGTAACAGGACTGGCTTGAGGAACAGGGCTCCTCGCATGATAGTCAAGTAACTTGTGTATTCTCTGGATGTATGTTAAAGAATATTCATTCTGTATTTTTATTCATGTCTTGTAGGATACGAAAGAGATATGATAATAGCAATATAACGATAAACGTGAAAACATCTCATCTTAGAAGATTTCGAAGTACCGCCCCGTACCATTTCATTTTTACTGCATGGGCAGTACGTAAACAATTCGATATGGGCAACAATGTCAGGGTAATATTAAAGTCACGTACTTGGTGACGAAACGACAACGAGTTATCCTCGTTTGGCAAGCGATAAGGGCGAAATGGTCGAATTGTCGGGGCCATCGCTTATTTTTAGAAAAAGACTTATGAGTCTCTACCGTATTCAACTGACTCATGACATCACATGCACAGATCTACTATTTACCATTACATTAATGTACCCCAACTACTATTACGGATTCGTCATCGACTGAATCACGGGATCGTCACACAGACTAATCCTGATCGTCACACAGACTGATCATTAAGTCGTCACACAGACTGACTAGGAGTCATCACACAGACTAACTCGCAGTTGTCACACAGACTAACTCTAACTCTTTGGTCGCTAGGTGTATGGTCAGACGTGCTGAGTTTAACGATTGTTACAAAAAGACAATCCAGGAACCGGGATATCACGCTGGCCGAGGGTCGTTGTGTCAATACCCCAAAGCTCCGACGTTACCCCTGAATCAGAGGTACCCGAGCAATATGACTATCATTAAAGTAACAATCCCTTCACACATCCTGCGATGAGATACATTCAGACTCCAGCGATTGCCAAGAGAAGATAGTTAAGCGGTCATTCAGACCAAGGACGCCACTTGGGCCAAAGGCCACCGTGTCAACATCCAAAGCGCTCCGACGTTTTCCCTGGTAGAGGAAACCGAGCAGTAAGTAACATAACTACCTCAACCCAGCAAACGGGCTCCGAAAGTCCCATAACACCCCCAGAACCTGGAGGCGTCCCACCTGCGGATATTCAATAACAAGTCGTAAGCCATAAGTTAAATTATGAAGGTAAAAAGTATAGCATCTTTATAAACATGGCTTAAGACATTCATGATCATTAATATAAAAGTATTATGGTTATCAATCCATGCAGTACAGTAGAATAAAGGAAACATTCAGTGATTGCTCACCTTTTAGGTAACCAAAACACTACACCCAATAGCACATCAACACTGTAATCAAGTCCACAAAGCGCACTACTTGGTCTGAGAAGCGATCTCCTCCACGCAATAATTGAACTGCATTGCCACCCGCGCCCGTATCTTTAAAAAAGTTTATCCTGGGAACAAGTACCCAGAGAAGCAATGGAATGTATAATATAAATAGACGTAAGGGCCGTCGCGCTGAGTGATACTTAGCAGCCTTGTGAACCTTCTGGGAAGATTTTGTATGCTACAGGGTTGAACTCGCATGCAAGAATGTGTTTGAGATATTTCGTAAGCTTACAGTCTTCAAAGAATTTATTAAGCAGAATTTTGTTCAACAACAATAAGGAACTATTATTGCCAATAAAGTGATCAGAAATGGCATCATGTCAATCTTTTCGATCAGACTTAATTTATGTTTCGAATAGGCCATAATTGTTGATTCGTCTAATTTGCGAGTATACGCAACTTCTTTTTGATAGGTGGAATTTGCGTCAAGCTTTGTGTCCGGACGCAAATGAAAAACGGGTTTTTGTAGATAAATCATTTGACATATGAAGTATTTCTTGATTTATTATGAGAATTAGGAGCCCATCTTATAAAAGTCGAATAATTTTTCTCTAGATTTAGAGGCGCAAGTTTTAATTCCCGCCGCTCAATAGTAAAATCTGGCCTAAATGAGAGTACGTTCAAACTTTTTCCCAGTTTCTAACCGACAATTTTCCTTGTTTCAGCTACCGGACGGAGTGCACCTGAGCGTGAGCGAGCTGCGCGATATGGCGTGCCGTCAGCAAGCGCAGATCGAGCAGCAACACCGTCTGCTGGCTGCCAAAGAGCAGCGCCTCCGCTATTTGAAGGAGCAGGAAGCGCGCCAGCGCAGGGTGCACGCTGAGGGGGAACGGCTGCGCAGACTTAGGGAACGTGTCGACGCGCAGGAACTGAAGCTGAGGAAATTGCGCGCGTTGCGAGGACAGGTGGACCATCAGAAGCAGAACAACATATCGCTGAGTAAGTTTATGGATACTTTTCTGATACTTGAAGTTTGCTTTCTTGGAGGTAGCCTAGGTAGGTTCAAACGAACCTGCTGGAGCCATGTTTATTGGTCATTATATAGGGCAGATTGTGTGATTGTGATAAAGGACATCAAGAACTCTAGTCGTCATGACTGATGTCCAAATGAACTTTCGTAGTGTGTGGTAAGTCATATACTTACTGTTCGATAGCGAAAATAAAGTTATAATTCCCAAATTTGATTCGGTTGAACAGGTAAACCTATTGAACACTACAACGTTTGAATAGGTTTAGATGCCGTCTCCAGTATGCGTCGCTCTCAGTAAGATTTTCAACCCCACACATCAGAGTTAGTGATTCGCTAGAAATATCTGACTTCAGTAAATTGGCTACAAATGCAGCTTTGTTGGATTGATTGGTTAATTCCGTCAACATGACAACTGCGAGACCTAACTATCTGTAAAAAATCATCTGACTCGATTCGCCCTGTATAAGGGATAATTGACAATGCGTCATATTTTTGCTCGTGAAAGTTTTCAAGTTTTCCAATAGAAAATCCGATTTAAAAACATGGATTCTGGAGGTCAAAGTAATGATCCCCCAGCGTTCCCGATGATGAATGGACCCAGCCAGATGGAGAGAACAGAAATTACCATGAAATCAAAGGAACTGATGATACCAGCTGTAGCAGACGAAAAGGACAGAACCATCCAGCGCCAGACCCCGATCATCGAAAGCCAGGCCCAGCAAATAAAGGAGCTGACTGAGACCATGAAATCAAAGGAATTGATGACACCAGCTGTAGCAGATAAAAAGGACAGAACCATCCAGCGCCAGACCCTGATCATCGAAAGCCAGGCCCAGCAAATAAAGGAGCTGACTGAGACAGTTATTGACCAAAACAGTAAAATAGACTGCCTGACCACCCAGGTAACACAGTTAATCAATAATGCAAATTTTAAATCTAAATCTGACAAGACTGTCAATTTAAAAAGACCTCTTGAAAATTTAACTGACGTGACATCGACCGACGATGAAATACAGAATGACGGATTCATCCAGGCCAAGTCTAGGAAAAGACGCATCGACAAAACGAACAAAACCGACAAGACGGATAACTTCCCACCTCTTCCAAAAGCAAAATAAAAATTCAAGTTGACAGTCCCCTCAAATCCTTCTGCTCCATTAAACGTATCAACTTCTTCTGCCACTTGTCCTATGACGGTCGATGCAGCGACCACATCTTCTCAATCTTTGGCCACTGCATCAACTAACTGTGCATCTCAACAATCTCACGTTGCTGGTGAGTTGACCAGCACAGCACCCCGCCAGGGGCGAATCACGCCCTTTGTTTTGCGTGATGCGACCAAGTGGCGACATCTAAACTACATTTTTATAAGCTTAGGCATTAAGATAGAACGCGCAGTTGCCGTTGATGCGGGAATCCTGATTTTGCCGAAAACTGAGGATGACTACCGAAGAATTGTTCGCCTGTCCAGGGAGGAGGACATGACCTATCATACGTTCCCTCATCTTTCAGAACGAAATATTCACGCGGTAGTCAGAGGCATACTCGCAATGTTTTCGGGACAGGAGATCAAAGGGGAATTAGAACAGAGGGGATATACTCCTCTCCACATTATACGACTCAAACGCAGTGGCGGCGCACCCATGCCTTTGGTGGTCGTGATACTGCCCAAGATTGAAAAGTCCCAGCAGCTGTTCAATGAACATGAGCTGCTGGGTCTAGCAATCAGAGTTGAAGTTCAAAAGAACTCTAGACTTATTGGGCAGTGTCACCGCTGCCAAAGGTATGGCCATGTGCAGTCTTACTGCGCAGCACCTCCCAAATGTTTAAAATGTGCTTCCGACCACACGACACATTTATGCCCCCTCACAGGACAAGAGGAGCGAAAGTGTGCGAACTGTGGAGGGGCGCAACCCGCTAACAGTCCCACTTGCAGATTCACCCCCAGGCGAAATCTGGAAGTCATAGCGCAAAGACGCAGCAAGTCATACGCGGAGGCAGCCGTCTCAACATCTTCGGCTGCCCCCTCTGTTCAACTCACTTTGAACACGCAGAATGTGGACCTAGCAACTGCGCTTCGGTCCCTTCAACAAATAATAAATCCCCTGATTAGCGCCACTTAGGCATTGCAGGCGATCTTTCCGCAGCCATTGAAGGGCTAAGTACAATAGACAACCTGCATTTATCAAAATTCTTTTTTGGAATTGTCTGGGCCTAAGGGATATTCCCAAAAAACGGGAATTTCATCAAACTCTATTGGATGAGAGTATTGACGTAGCTCTGCTGCAGGAAACATTACTTAATCCGAGAGATCGCCTAGCTTTCTCGAATTATGATGTTATACGAGCTGACAGATTGGATGGTAGGGGTGGTGGCTTGGCAGTGCTCGTTAAACGTGGTATTGACTATCACAGAAGCACAAACGCCGAGATGCAAAGCATTGAAGCGGCGTCCATGGTAGTCAATATGGCGGGATGCATTCCGTTGAAGATCACCTCGGTGTATGTCAGGTGCGGTGCCAGGCTGCGAGAGGAGGACTTGGAAGTCCTTCTGGACTGTTCGGGCACTCTAATTGCGACAGGGGACTACAACTGCAAACACCGATCATGGCACTCAAGGCTTAACTCTACTTGTGGGGTTCGGCTTTACAACCATGTGATGCGAAACGGGTATCTTATTCACAGCACCGAAAAGCCGACACACCATCCTTTCAATCACCTTCAGGCACCGGATGTTATAGACTTTGCAATATCTAAAAACTGTAGGTTCAGTATTGCTTCTAGGATCTTGTATGACATCTCTAGTGACCATCTACCTGTTGTTCTGGAGGTAGGTAATGGGCATTTCGTGGAGGAGGAAACTCCTCCAAGGAAAAGAGTTGCTTGAATCAAGTATTCCTCTCTGGAAAGTCGCAAAATCGGTCAGAAACGGAAGGCAAGAACAACTACCACATATTCATGGTCCTGGAGGCATAGTTTTCAGGACTGAGGATAAAGTGGAGGTTTTTGCTGACGTCATGGAAAGGCAGTTCTCTCCCAATTATGATCTGGACAATGACCTTGACGAGGAACGACAAATTGTAAGATCTGTCAGGAGATACTTCAGAGCGAATGGCGATACCAACATCGGTGCTAGCATCGGTGACTCCTTTTCAGAAGATTATTCTACGAAAGACTCTTCAGATGAATCTCAGCATAGCACATCAACGGAATCCTTTGAGATTCCGTTTTGCACACCAGCAGAGCTCCAAGGCCACATTAACGACCTAAAGGTGCGTAAAGCACCTGGAGAGGATCAAATCACCAACAAAGCACTGAAGTTGCTTTCACTTAAGGCTTTGACTTATCTGGTGGCAATAATCAATGCAATGCTCAGAACTCATTACTTTCCTACGGCGTGGAACGTCTCTGAAGTCATCATGATCCCAAAGAAGGCAGGTTCGATATTCCCCCAGGATTACCATCCCATTAGTCTACTGTCAGCTCCTCCTAAGCTCACTGAAAAGGTGATTTCTCGTCAGATCGCCATGTGATTCCTGACGTGGAATTCGGATTTCGGTCTAAGCATAGTACGGAACTACAGGCAGTTAGACTGGTGGAGCATGTAACCAGGGGGTTCACCCTGAACAAAAGTACTGGTATCTTGCTTTTAGATGTATCAAAGGCATTTGACAAGGTGTGGCACATGGGCCTCATCCAAACGGGTTTTCCATTTTGGCTACTAAAACTGTTGAAATCTTTTCTAGAAGGAAGGAAGTTTCGGATCAAAATTAACAACGTGTTGTCAACAACAAGAGCCGGTGTTCCACAGGGTTCGGTCTTAGGACCAATCCTTTATTCACTTTATATACATGACGTCCCTTGCCCCAGCAACTGTGAAGTCTATCTCTATGCTGATGACACTGCATTACTAGCCCAGTCTTGTTCTGGCAACCTGGTTCACGACAGGCTGCAGAGTGCGGTGGAGGAAGTATTGGAGTGGGCGCATCGGTGGTTGATCAAAATTAATACTTCGAAAATGCAGGCATTCTATTGTACTAAAAAAGTCATCATTGACAAGGGGTTGGCCTGGCAGAAACATACTGATATTTTGAAAACAAAATTCCAAATTACCTTTCGGCAGCTTTATCCTTTGTTGTGCAGAAATTCAAAATTAAGTTTGATCAACAAGATTCGGTTGTATAAAATGGTCATGAGACCCGCAATCACCTACGCGTGCGCGGCTTGGTGTTTTCTTGCCAAGACGCACTTGCAGAGACTGCACAGTCGAGCAAGTTCGCAAACATTCCAGGCCGCGCCTCGCACTGTGATCAAAATTAAATTGTAAATTCAGTCCAACCAAAATTATTTCAGTATACAAAATCGATCAAAATTATTTTTTGGAGTTACAAAATAATTCGAGTACTAGTCAAACCAATAATGCTTAAGCTATTTCAAATGATTTACTTCTTTTCTTTGCTCTATTTCTTCCTTCCTATCTTTCCTTATTTCCCCTTTCTCCTTAAACATGTTTGGTATCTGGGTAGCCAGACCTGACAGACCTGACAGACTAACAGACCGACGAGACTATTAACTAAGAGCAAAGGTCCACCGGACCGCTCTGACGAATAATGACGAATAGTAGTATCATCTGACTCAATTTGAGCGGCGGCTTGAACTATGTAGACTTTAAGAACATCGGTGGATTACCGATTTCGAAGACCTCTATAAAAAGGTCCAATGGGCTCAAATTGCACAATCTTAGTGGTCATTGCTTGTCAGCGATCGTGGTTGACGTCGGTGGTCTCACTATCGTTAGTTTCGAAAATTGCGGATCATTAACTCGCCGACCCAGGACTACACCAAAATAACCTTTTTGAGTGTATACCCACCTGGAACCCAATTCCCGAATCGTATGAAAAAATTGTCATGGGAAATGTCACTCTTGTAGAAAAACATCTTTGAAGTATAAAATACAGGAATATTTTAAT